GGGAAGGGGAGATGGTCATGGGGCTTAAGCTCTGGGCCTTGGCGCTGTCCCTCAGCAATTCAGCTCAAGGCTTGAGCCACAGCACCACTTGGGTTTTCTAGTGGTTTACTGGAGATAAGTCTCACAGACTTTCGCGCCCAGCATGGCTTTGAACAGCGATCCTCAGATCTCAGCTTCCTGAGTAGCTAGGATTACAGGCATGAACCACCTATGCCCAGCTTGTGAGACTATTATCTCCAATAAACCACTAGAAAACCAGAAGTGAAGCAAGCCATGGCTTAAAGTGGTAGAGCACTAGCCATGAGCAAACCAAAAAGAGCTCAGGGTCAGCACCCAGGCCCTGAGTTCAAGCCCCATGACTGACAAAAAAAAAAAAATCAGCTGGGCGTTGGTGGCTCACACCTGTAATCATAGCTACTCAGGAGGCTGAGATCTGAGGATCACAGTTCAAAGCCAGCCGGGACAGGAAAGTCCATGAGACTCTTATCTCCAATAAGCCACTAAAAAACCGGAAGAGGTACTATGGCAAGCGGTAGAGTGCTTGCCTTGAGCTGAAGAGCTAAGGGACTGTCCAGGCCCAGAGGTCAAGCCCCACAACCAACTTAAAAAAAAAAAAAGTCAAAAGTAGCCAAGCATTGGTGCCTCACACTTGTAATCTTTGATACTCAGGAGGCTGAGATACAAGGGTTGTAGTTCAGAGTCAGCTGGGGCAGGAACGTCCATAGACACTTACCCCAATAAACCACCAGAAAAAGAGAGGGAAAAAAAGGTAAAATCTGAGTGCAAGTGACTCAAACCACTAATCCCAGTTACTCAGGAGGGTGGGATCCGTAAAATCACAGTTCAAGGCCAGCTTGGGCAAAAAAGTTCTTAAGACTAAATCTCAACCATAAACAGCTGGAAACAGTAGTATGCCTACCATCCCTACAAAACAGAAAGCATAAATAGAAGATTAAGACCAGCCTGCATGAGCACAGAGATCTTTAGAAAAACACTGTGAGTAAAAAGAAAATATACTGTGAATAAAAAGGGTTGGTAGAGCATTTGCCTAGCAAATATAAGACAAGGAATTCAAAGCTCAGTACCACCAGAAGTACTAAGACACAAGATTTGTAAATAAAAAACTGCCTCGGGGCTGGGAAGGTGGCTCAGTGGTAGAGTGCTTGCCTTGCATGTATGAGGCCCTGGGTTCGATTCCTCAGTACCACATAAGCAAAAAGAAAAAAACTGGAAGTGGCGCTGTGGCTCAAATAGAAGAGCACTAGCCTTGAGCTGAAGAGCTGAGGGACAGTGCCCAGGCCCAGAGTTCAGGCCCCACCACCGGACCCTAAATAAATAAATAAATAACTGCCTCAATTTCCATAAGCCATATTCTTTTTTTGCTCTATTATTAAGGTAGGCCATCCATAAGGAATAATAAAAATTTACTTCATATTCTGTTTGTTAAGTAAAGTGTTACCTGGTAGGTTTACTGAGATGTTGTTCCTGAACAATGGAAGACACAGAATTATTTTTTCCAGTTTCCTCTTCAACACTCCTCGATGGTCCAACATCTAATTGAGCATATTTTTGAGCCAAACTACAGTCTTCAGAACCTACACAATCTTTTCTTGCTGAAACTTCCAGAGAGGTCAAAATCTCTGTCTTTTCCTTAAATTTAAGAAGAAACAGCTAATATTTCCAGGGACAATTTCTGTATTAATTTGGTTTAGCAATTTGGTTGAATCTTCTAATTTACACACATATACACGTGAACAGTTTCCAAACTGTTGGAATAATTGAAAGCCACTTGCTTTCACAAAAATATTTCCAGTACAAAACTAAACTGACTTTATTATTTGTTTTCCTTCATTATCCTGATAAAAGAGTTCACCAACAATAAAGTTACATTTTCTGAACTTACTTTCACAAGGAGCTGGGTGTCAGAATCTCCTTGCTGCAGCAAATTATCTTCTGGTTTGCATACCTTGTTCTCATCTGTTGTGCTTTTTTTCATACCTGCTCCTTTTTTACTGTTTGCTCTGCTCAAATTTGGCTTAGGCTTTTGGAAGAATCTTCTTATCAATTGTGCTGGACTAGGAACACATGGCTTATTTTCTTCACATCTGGAATGAAGCATAGATCATAGTGAATAACAAAATCAGAACTTCTTGATGTAATAACTCTTAAGCAATTTTAGATATAAAATTGTTCAAAGAACTATGTATATAAACTGATCATAAACCCAAGCATGGGAAATGAAACCATACATTGATACAAAAGGAACAAGATAAAAAGCTTTATTTTTTTGTGCCAGTACTGGGACTTGAACTCAGTGTCTCATATTTTCACTTGGGTTTTTTTTCTCAAAAATGGTGCTCTACCATTGGGCCACAACTCCACTTCTAGAAAAGTTTTTTATAGCTTCTTTTTTCTGCATAGCCTAAGAATGGGTTTAATATTAATCTTTTTTACTGTAACTTAATCATTCTGGTCTGTGGCTGTCACTTTAAGTTTCAAAGAAATAACTGTATACGGGAGCGGAGGGAGGATGGGAAAGGGAAACAAAGGAGGAGGCTACAATGCTTGCTAAGAAATGTACTCATTATCTTGCCCATGTAATTGTAACCCCTCTGTACAGTATTTTCACAATAAAAATAAAAAAATAAATAAACCCAAAAAAAATTTTAATAAAAAATAATAAATTAAAAATTAAAAAAAAAGAAATAACTGTATACTCCAAGATTACCAGCAGACCTCCGTAGGTTTCACAGTAGGCCTTTAAAGGAATGCCTTAAACTGGGCTCCAAAGCATAAGCTTTACACATGGTCCAATCACCTGATCTGGCTCAAGAGTAGGTCTATTCTGCTACCACAGACCTAATCCAGAATAAAATTCATAAAATCATCTACACAAAAGCCCAACCTTTATCCTTGAAGTGTGATGTTTTTCTAATTAAAAGCAACCCTACAGCTGTTGACTCACGCCTGTAATCCTAGCTACTCAGGAGGCTGAAATCTGAGAATCACAATTCAAAGCCAGCCTGGTTAAGAAAGTACATGAGACTTTTATCTCCAATTATCCACAAGAAAAACAGAAGTGGCACTGTGGCTCAAAGTGGTAGAACACTAGCCTTGAGCAAAAGAGCTCAGGGTCAGTGTCCAGGCCCTGAATTCAAGCCCACAACCAGATGTAAAAGAAAAAAAAAAAAAAAGGCAACCTTACCTTATCTTTTCCTCCAAAATATTTTTTTCCTCCAAAATAGTCTTGTCAACAGGGAGACTTTCTGCAGGAACCACATGACTTTCATTTTCATCCATTCTGCATTCAGAAACTTTGGAGGATACAACTTCAATTTCAGTGTCAATTTCAGCATTTGACTATAAGACAAAAACATTTTTTGTAGCAGTGTCTACTTTCAAAAATATTACAATCTTTAAAGAGTATTCATTATTACTTCCTTCTCATTTTCTTTCCATGTTTATTTTTGTCCTAAGGATAAACCCAGAGCCTTGCAAATGTTCTACCACTGGGGTTCACTTGTAGCCCACTAGTTTTTGGTTTTTTTTTTTAATTAAGATTCAAACTGCATAAACAATGAAAGATTGCAATGACTGTTTCCATAACATGTTTACATAACACTTTTCTATGAATGTCAACAATTACAAAGTTAAAAATTACAAGTACTTTGGGATGGTTATGCACCCCAACGAGAGCGCAGTGGCTAGCATGCATAAGACTCTGGGTCTAGACAGGAGCAGATGACTCTGTAACCCTAGCTACTCAGGAGGCTGAGATATGAGGAATGCAGTTCAAAGCTATAGGGGGCAGGAACGTCCATGAGACTCATCTCCAATAAACTACCGGAAAATCAGAAGTGGTGCTGTGCCTCAAGTGGTAGAGTGCTCATCTTGAGTTGAAGAGCTGAGGGACAGCGCCAGGCTCAGAGGTCAAGCCCCACAACCGACAAAAAGGGAGAGAGGGAGGGAGGGAGGGAGGGAG